CAGGCAAAGATGGGACAGGTAGATAGATGGGAAGCGGGAGAGACAGAAGAGCTGAGAGGGAGGGCTGGCTGGCTGGATGAGGTTGGATACAAACAGATAAGGCATGGACAGGACAGGCGTAAGAAAGCTCATGGCCCAGGCATCCAAGACAGGCCTGGCTGAGAGGCTGAGAGGAGTCCTCGTCTGGGTGGCCCCAGGGCCCCTTGTAGCTCAGCTATAGGAGCTACACATGACCTCCCCGGCACTGGTTCTCCTACAGTCTCGAAGCCTTCTGGTGGATGTGGGTACACAAGGGGCCCTTAGGCTGGGACAAGGCTGGATTAAGCTTTTCTCTGCAGGCAGAGGAAGACAAGGAGGAGCAGACAGACAGCCAGCCAGACGCCTCCTCCAGCCAGACAGTGACCCCGGTGGCTGAACCCATGAGCTCAGAGCCCGCCCCACCTGATGGGCCCACCTCCCTGGGCCCCTTGGATCTGCTGCCCAGTGAGGAGCTGTTGACAGACACGAGTAACTCCTCCTCATCCACGGGGGAGGAAGGTGAGGCAGGTGGCCAATTCATTTGCTTTGGGTACACATGACAAACCTCACTCACACGGGCTGCACTGAGGGATTCGCTGGCTCGTGGGACTGAAAAGTCCATGGAGTAGGCAGATAAGATAAGGCGTTTAAATGGTGTTGTTAGAAATCTGTCCGTATTTAGCTCTGCTTTGCAGGCAGCTTAGCAGGGTGGATAGGATTATAGACTCTGAAGCCAGATTGCTGGGGCTCAAATCCTGGCCACGCTGCTTCCTAGCTGTGTGACTTGGGCAAATTATTCAACCTCTCTGAGCCTCATTTTCCTCATCTAAAAATTTTTCTCACCTGGGGTTAGCAGTAATACTACCCACTTCATAGTGTTGTCATTGAGAGAGTTAAATGTCTTAATACAGGTAAAGTGTTTGGGCCAGTTAGTAAGTGTTGGCTATTATATCATCATCATCATCATTTCCATTTCCTCTGTGCCAACTTTATTCTCAGATAGCTTCTACTCTTGTGGCAGAAAGAGCCCCAGCCCTGCCCCAGACAAGCCTAGCAGAGAGAAAGCATGCTCCTCCCAGTGGCTGCACCAAAAGCTCTAGGGTTGTCTCTGACTGGAGAGCAAGCCCACCCCTGAGCCCCTCACTGTGGCTGATGGCCTGGCTTGGAACACACCCCCCCCCCCCCCCCCCCCCCCCCCCGACCCCATCCTCATCGTGTTTTCTTTTTCCTGGACTAGTCTGTATGTTTGTAGAAATAGTCATACCATTAAGATGAGGGAAAAGGTCTATTAACAAAATTAATAAATGACTTGTTACAGAGCCAAGCAAAATACTCCAAAGAATCAGGCAAATTTTACCAATACCCCTGTCATCGCTGGGACTGCAGGTGCGTGAGTCTAGGTGTGCGTGAGTCTAGGTGTGTGCTCCGCCTTGAACCCATGGTGGTAGCTCTGATTGTCTGGGCTTGGGGCACACACCCACCCTAAAGCCATCCTGTGGTGGAGGGGGCTGAGTAGCTCCGTGTCTGTGTCCGCTCCGGTCCAGGAGGACGGGGCTGCCCAGGCACCCCACAACGCCTGGGAGTGGGGAGGAGCGGTCACTCAGAGGGAAACCGAGGAACGCAGGCAGCCTCATCCCCTGTCCTCTGTCGCCCAGCCGACCTGGCGGCCCTCCTTCCCGACCTCTCCGGTCGTCTCCTCATCAACTCCGTCTTCCACGTGGGTGCCGAGCGGCTCCAGCAGATGCTCTTCTCAGACTCGCCCTTCCTGCAGGGCTTCCTGCAGCAGTGCAAGTTCACAGGTCAGGGGCCGAGGTGACCAAGGTACACGGGAGGGGGTGAGGAGGGGCAGACCAGGAGACGGGCAGGCACTGCTGTGCAGATCAGGTGTGGCAGGCTGGGGAGTTAAAAGCAGCGTCTGTGAGGCCAGAGGGGCTCCTCCTCTTACCAGCTGAGTGGCCTTGGGCCAGGTGCGGACCCTCTCTGTGCCTCGGTTTCTTCTGTGTGATGCGGGTGTGATACTAGTTACCTGCCTTGTCAGGGTCTCATGAGAACTAAATGAGTTAATATTAGAAAAGTGCCTAGAACAGTAGCAGATAGTAAGCATTTAATAAATACGAGTTAATGAGCACTCTGTCAGGCCTGTGCAGAGACCAGGACAGATGAATTCCAGAATCTAGTGAGAACAGCAGTAAACAGATACTCAAGCAGATAAGTGTGTATGTCAGAGAGGTGGCTGTGGTCTGGGGGGTGTTAGGAAAGGCTGCTGGAAGGATGTGACATTGAAACTAAGGCCTGAAGGAGGAACTTTCTTAGGGAAAGTGGAGGAGGTGGGAGAGAGGAGTCCAGGAAGCCAGCAGGGTACCTGCAAAGATCCTGAGGCTGGAGGCTGGCACTGGGAGAAGCCCCCTGTGGCTGGGCCCCTGTGGCCAGGTGTGGAGAGGGGAAGCCACAGCACCAGCAGAGGCAGAAGGGCTGACCAGGGGACTAGCAGGGAGCTCGGGAGGCTGCAAAAGAGATTCAAGTTGGGGAGGGCCTACTCAGATGGTAGTTTTCTCTGTTTCTTTTGTCTGTATTGATGAAAATGAACCACGTAGAATCCCCTGCAGAATGAGTAAGACTCTGCCTTGTGTTGGGGGCACTCGAGTCCCCCAAAACTATGCTTATATCCTGGAGAGACTGGCACATCAGACTGAGGAGCTCAGACTCTGTCTGGCATACTGGGGAGCCATGGAGTGTTGTAGACAGATAAGGGACAGGGTCAGGCTTGGCTTTAAGAAGCTACCGCTGGACCAGGGGTAGAGACGGAGGCCAGGAGCTCAGGGGGAGGCTGAAGAGGGGCCCTGGACAGACAAGGATGGGCTGAACTAGGACAGTGCTCAGGCGGTCAGTGAATAGACGGGGAGGGAGTGTCCAGGACGAGGCTCAGGGCTCTGCAGGAAGCCTGGAGGACAGTGGGGCGAGGAGGGATGTGTTTGAGGAGATGCGGAGGCCAGTGGGTGTGAGGGGCCCTGGGAACTTCCAGGGGAAGGTGTTCAAGAGGTGGCAGGACCCTAGGTCTGAGGCTCAGGGGAGAAGCCAGGACTGGTAAGGAGAGGAGACTGGGGCTGCAGGAGTAGAGGAGGTGGCCCAGGAGGGCTGACAAGTGTAGGCAGGAGAGAGGTCCCAGCTCTGAGGATCATCAACGTCTGAAGTTTTGGGCGTCCAGAGGGAAGATGGGGCAGACACCGGAGTGGGGGCAGGGAGGAGGCTCAGGTTTGGGGGCAAGTCCCCAGAGAACTGGAACCTTCCAGAAAGGCTGATTCCCCTACAGCCTGTGGGCGAAGGCTGGAGAGTGGTGTCTTCATCCTGCCCCTCCATCCTCCAGACGTGACCTTGAGCCCCTGGAGCGGGGACAGCAAGTGCCACCAGCGCCGAGTGCTGACCTACACCATTCCCATCAGCAACCCGCTGGGGCCCAAGAGCGCCTCTGTGGTGGAGACACAGGTGTGCCAGGCAGGGTGGCCAGCGTGTGGGGTGGCCGGGGGCCAGGGTGGGGGCATGGCGCTGACTCCCTGTTCCTGTCCTGGCCCCGCAGACGCTGCTCCGGCACGGCCCGCAGGCAGGCGGGTGTGTGGTGGACTCAGAGGTGCTGACGCAGGGCATCCCTTACCAAGACTGTTTCTACACTGCCCACCGCTACTGCATCCTGGGCCTTGCCCGGAACAAGGCCCGCCTCCGGTGAGCGGCGGCCCGGCCCCTCCACCTGACCCCTGATGGTCCCAGGGCCCCTGCCCCGGTCTCCCCACCCCGAGTCAGCTGCAGAATGTTGGTTGCTGCCGTGGCAGGCGAGCAGAAGTCAGGAGCACCCCTAGGTGTTTGGCCGGAGCCACCAGAAGGATGGAGCCACCCTTGACTGGGAGGGGAAGGTGGGGAGGGGCAGGTTTGGGGGAAGGTCGGAGCTCAGCTTGGGACTTGCTGAGATGTCTCTCAGAAGCCCGTGTGGAGTTGGACGCAGCGGCAAGATGGAAGGGGTTCGAGGGTGAGGTGTAGGCTAGGATGGCAGTCTGGGTGGGCAGTGCTGGGGCAGCGCCGAAGGCGGGAGACCTGCCAAGGTAGTGGGTGTGGACAGAGAAGGGGCTGCGGGATGAGTGGGGATCACAGGGAACCCTTCGCGGGTGTCTGTTTTGTCTGTGGGTGACAAGGGGCCCTCTCTGAATCAGGGGAGGGAAGGCTGCCCCCGGGAATGGGACAGCAAGCCTGGAGTCAGACCCTGACCCCCTCACCCCTTCCCCGACCCCAGAGTGTCCTCCGAGATCCGCTATCGGAAGCAGCCCTGGAGCCTTGTGAAGTCTCTCATTGAGAAGAACTCGTGGAGTGGCATCGAAGATTACTTCCACCACCTGGGTAGGGGACAGGGGTCCGGCCAGGGCCACAGACAGGGTCGGGGCCTGGCCGGGTGCAGACATGCAGGGTCCTCTCTCGTGTCTGCAGAGCGAGAGCTCGCCAAGGCCGAGAAGCTGTCTCTGGAGGAAGGCGGGAAGGATGCACGTGGGCTGCTGTCCGGCCTGCGCAGGCGGAAGCGGCCCCTAAGCTGGAGGGGCCACGGTGACGGGCCGCAGCACCCGGACCCTGACCCCTGCACCCGGGTTGGCATGCACCCCTCAGGTGAGTTCCGTCAGGCCTGGGGTGGGGTGGGGCGGGGGAGGAGCTGGGGGTCTGGGTGGGGTGAGCCCGTCCATCTGGGTGGGGGATGAGTCTGTCTGACTCCGAGTTGCTCCCCCGCAGGCTCCCTCAGCTCCCGCTTCTCAGAACCGTCCGTGGACCAGGGCCCCGGGGCAGGCATCCCTAGCGCCCTGTTTCTCATCAGCATTGTGTGAGTAAGGGGGCCGTGCTTGCGGGTCAGACAGACCTGGATCAGCACCCTGGCTGTGTGAGCTTGGGCAAGTGCTTGGCCTCTCTGGGTCTCTGCTTATGTGAGAGCATGGGCTCCCCACCCCATAGCAAGGATTAAAGGAGGTGACGTTTGAGATGCGCCCAGCAGGGCTCCTCACGTGGTGTACTGCTCAGCCTGCCATGGCGAGGTCATCCCTGCAGGGAGAGGGAAGCCTCGGGGCTCGGGGGGGTCAGAGGGGCCTGACCTCGCCCCCAGGGCTGGAGGAGCAGGCCCCCAAGGGAGCCGGAATTGGGTGAACCAGGAGAGGTGTGCAAAAGGAGCAGTGTCACCTACACTTCATTCAGGTTTTCTGTGCCCAGCCCTGAGCTGTGTGATGCGAGGGACACAGTAGCGACCAGCAGCCCTGGGGGGAGACAGGCCTGGCACCAGACCAGAGGGATGGGGTAGGGATGGAGGAAACATGGGCGGAGGGGACAGGGAAGCCTTCGGAGGCCAGTGAAGGCTTCCTCCAGGCTGGACAGGTAGGCCGTCAGGGAAGGCTTCCCAGGAAGGTAGAGGACTCTGAGCTGAGACCCCACGGGGATTAGGCGGGGAGACCGACATGCACAGAGGCGGGGGCTAGGGGCACGGTGCTCTGAGGAAATGGGGATGAGATCCCTGCTCCCCGCAGACCCTGGGCAGTGAGAGATCGGCCACACGTTCAGCCTCTCTGGGCCTCAGTTTGCCAATAACGGCAGTCCAGTGAGGTGCTGTGCGGTGCGCTCAGCTCAGGGCTGCCGGGGTCGGGGGGTGGCCAGGACCGGCTGGGCGGCTCTCATCTCTTTGTCTCCCCCTCTCTGCCTCCTCAGGATCTGTGTGAGGTAGGGTCCTGCGTCCTGCCCTCCCCTCATCTGTGTCTCACCCTCAGCTTCAGCCCCTTGTTCTCACTCCGTGCCCCCAGCTCCCCCAGCGAGGTGGCCTGGAGTAGCAGTTGAGGGCTCGGGCATCAGACAGGCCTGGGTTTGAACCCTGACTTTGCTGCTTATGGACTGTGTGACCCTAGGTGTGTCACTCACCCTGTCTGAGTCTTAGTTTCCTCCTCTGAAAAGAGGGCTAAATCATGGCACCCCTTCAAGGTGTGGTCACGTGGCTGACCTCCCACTTGTGGGAACGTTGGTATCCTGACTCCTGACCTCTGACCTCTGACCCCTCCCCCCAGCCTCATCGTCCTCATTGCCCTCAACGTCCTCCTCTTTTACCGCCTCTGGTCCCTGGAGAGGACAGCCCACACTTTCGAGTCCTGGCACAGTCTGGCCCTGGCCAAGGGGTGAGTGGGTAGCCCCAGGGAGCTGGGAGCTTGGGCAGGTCGGGGGAGGCCCAGATCCCACTCAGGCCCTGTATCCCCCACAGCAAGTTCCCCCAAACGGCCACGGAGTGGGCGGAGATCCTGGCCCTGCAGAAGCAGTTCCACAGCGTCGAGGTGCACAAGTGGAGGCAGATCCTGCGGGCTTCTGTGGAGCTCCTGGACGAGGTGCGGCTCTGGGCTGCGGGATCCTGCATTCAAATCCCAAGATGCGGCATGTGCATCTGGGCCTCACTTTCCTTCTCTGTTAAATGAGGAAGCCATTCATAGCCCCTACCTCCCAGGGTTGCTGGAAAAATCAGTGGGATGGAAGAAAGAATTTATTGGTTCTCATCCTGGGAAAAAAGTCCAGGGATGTCCGACTTCAGGCATGGCTGGATCCAGCCACTCAATAGTAGTAAGAATCAGTCTCTCTTACCAGGTCTTGACTCTGCCCACCCCCAGGGTTGCCTTTGTTTGGGGCATCCTAGGATGACCACTATGGTACCTACAGTTCCAGGGTAACATCCAAAGGTCACTTTCCCATCCCTGAACCAGTCATAGTGGCCAGGGATAAGGCTTGGTGACTGAACCCCTCCCCTCCTATGAGGTGACTAAGGGGTCACGTGAGGGTGGGAAAGAGGTTCTCCAAAGGTTATTGGGATCTCATCTCCAGAAGGGGTTGCCCCAGACAACCACTGTAATTCGCTGGCAGCATCTATTCAGACGGCCAGGTTCAAATTCTGACCTGTGACCTCGTGCAGGTGACTTCACCACTGGGGCCTTGGCTTCCTCCTTTGTAAATGGGATGATAATCGCTGTTACCTCAAAGGCTGCTGTGAGGATTAAAGGAGTTAGCATCTGAGTAGTGCCCAGCTCATGCAAACACCTCACCTGCATTCACTGTTGTTAGTGAGATCCCGCAAAGCAGGTGCAGTAAATGTGGTGCGGGGAGGCGTCAGCACAGACGCCGGGTGCTGGGGAGCATCTGGCATTGGCTGGGTGCCCAAGGGCATCAGAGCCCACGTTGCTGGATGATGGTGAAAATCATTCCTGGTCACTATGGACTGTAATGCTGAGGCTCACCTTTAGGGGCCTCATTGCACCCTGAAATCATGCTCAGAGGGAGATGCTCATGCAGGAAAGGGGACAGGGGAGAGGGATCATTGAGGCTGGGGTCCCGTCGCTCAGAGAGAGGGAGGTCAGGGCCTTCCCATTCTCAGTTCAATTCTGATTATTTTCCTCTCAAACTGCCAAGGGCATGGGATTGACTGCCCAAATTAATACTAACAGCAGACACCAATTGAGCCGGGCTGTTCTAAGAGCTAAAATGACCAACTGATTTGTTTCTCATGGCCAGCCTCCGAGGGGGGTGCTCTTGTTACCCCCCACCTAATAGACAGGAACGTTGAGGTGGAGGCATTCCCAAGGTCGCATGGCAGGGAATAAGAATAGCTAACGTGTACCCAGCACCTCCTGTGTGCCAGGTCCTAGGCGTTCACCCGTCATATCCCTGAATTAATCCTGTGAAGCAGGTATGTTACTGACCCACGTTTCAGCTGAGGGACCTGGGACAGTTAAGGTACTTGCCCAAGGTTACCCAGTAAGTAGCAGAGCCAGGACTTGAACCCAGGCCACCTGGGCCCCTTCCACCTGCTACCTATGAGAAGTAAAATTGGGTGCAGAATGGCTGGGGTGCAGAGGCACAGGCTGACCTTGGCCTCTCTGGACCTTCCCCAGCTCCTCAGCTGCGGCATGTTGGGGGATGCATCACCCCTCCCAGCACTCATCCCCCACCCTGCCCACCTCTTCCCCCAGATGAAGTTCTCGCTGGAGAAGCTGCATCAAGGCATCACCATCTCAGACCCTCCCTTCGACTCCCAGCCACGGTCCGACGACAGCTTCTCCTGAGGATATCTGGCCACTCGGCCATCTCCCCAAATGGACAGATGGACACAGAGGCTCGGTGGCCACTGCTGGCTCGGTGTGAGCGCCGGGAACCTCCCGCCCACCCCTCCCGGTGGCCCGGCCAGGGGCCACGCAGACATGGGGACCACAGAACCGAGATGCACTTTAGACCAGCGTGTGTGAGTCCAGCTGCCATCGCCTGCCCCGCCAGGGCACTGGCCCAGCCTTCAGCAGGCCCCCCCACTAACTTATTGTGCTCGGCTAGGGTTATGGGGGCCACCTCCTGGGGCGCACGATGCCCTCAGCTCTGGGTTTAATGTATTATATTTATTTGGGGCTGACAGAGCCCCAATAAAGGGTTGGAAATGGCTGTGGCTGTGCCTGCGGGGCCCTCGGAGTGGGTGGGAGCCTCCTGTCGCACTCAGATCCCGCTGTGGTAGGAGGGGCATACCATCCATTTTCTGGGGCCACAGTCACTGACGCGATCTGGAATTCCTGAGCATCTTTCACAAGCTTTGCACCATCAGGGTCCAGTGTGGGGGCTGTGAGGACAGACTGGTGGCTGGTGGCTTGGTTCAGTCCTACCTCTGATACTTAGTGGGCATGTCACCTGGAGCAGGTCAACCTCTCGGAGCTTCAGCTTCTTCTGTACAATGAGTATAAGAATAGTACCTGTTGGGGGCTTCCCTGGCCGCCCAGTGGTTAGGACTCTGCGCTTCCACTGCAGGGGGTGTGGGTTTGATCCCTGGTCAGGGAACTGAGATCCTGCATGCCGTGCTGCAAAAAAAAGAATAGCACCCATCTCCCAGGGTTGTCAGAAGTGAGTCGTTCTCGAACTTTAGCTGCATCAGGATCTCCTGGAGGGCTCTTTGAAAAGCCGAATGCTGGACCCCACCCTCAGTTTCCGACTCAGCACGTCTGGGGCGAGTCTGCTGAGCTCCTGCACTTCCAACAAGTTCCCAGGTGACGCTGATGCTCCAGGGACCCCACTTTGAGAACCACTTTATAAGGTTTCAAGGAGTTAATAAAGGTGGCTACTTATAACGGGGTCTGCACAGAGTAAGTATTCAATAAACGTTACTATTATGGCAGAAAAATTGAGGGGAGAAAAAAGTAAGTCATGGAGTGGGGACCAAGTATGTACCAGGCTCTGTGCCACAGTCTGATGTTCATTTAATTCTCAGTTACTCCATGAGATGGAGACAAACGGTTACATGCCTGGGGCCACTCAGCACGGAGGCAAGGCCTAGCCCCTGGTGTCTCCACATTTAGATACAAGGGCCCCCCTTCAGGACCCCACAGCAGCCCGTCCAGGTTGTGGCCCCCATCTTACCGATGTGGAAATGGGCCTAGAGGCAAGGTCTCGGTCCAGGTAGAACCTAGGTTTGTCTCACTCAAACCCTGTTCTGGTTCCAGAGGGAGGAGGGGTAAAGAGAGACCTTTGACAAGTCACAGTCAGGCTGTAAGAATCTTAATTGATGGCTTGGGGCAGAGGACTGGAGGAGGGGCTGCATGGGGCAGGATGGACCACAGGTGACAAAGGACAGAGCCAGCCTCCTCTAACCTCTAGCTATGTGATCATGGCAAGTTACCCATCCTGAGCCTCAGTTTCCCACACCTGTAAAATGGGCATAATGGTAACACCCATCTTGTAGGAAGAATTAAATGAGTTAATATTAGTAAAGTGCTTAGAACAGCACCAAGCCCGTAGTAGGTGCCCAGCCAACATCAGTTTGTAGGGCTGTCACTAGGTGCCCCTGCCTGGTGCCTACGACCTGTCCTCACTGTGCTTCTGCCTGCCACCCCCGATCAGAGGGGAGGGATCAGAACAGCAAGAGAGTTATTTTTTGCAGGGGAATTTCACAGCCTAGGAGGTGCTGGCACAAAGGCCCAGATCACAAAGGTATCTGGTGTCCCTGGCTTGGTGTCCCTGGCTTCCTCTCCCTCTGCCCTGGGCCAGCCCCACCCTTGGTTCCTCTCACCTGGCAAGGCTGCAGGGGGGAGATTCTGGAACTTCACGCCACCTAGAACTGGAGGTTAGGACCTGAGGAGCAACCCTCAGCCAAAAGTCTCCCACCCTGGTCTTGACGGAGCCTCCCCCCTCATCCTCTCCATTTAGCAGACAAGCCCCCTGCCATCGCCTGGCAGGATTTCAGATCCACCTGAAACCAGCTGCATCACCCTAGGCAAGGGAGTGGCCCTCTCCCAGCCTCAGTTTCCCTTTCTGTAAAATGCAGATTAATAATAGAAGTGCAATAAATGTTTGGGGAGGTAGAAGTGAATCCAGCATACCAGAAGGGCTCTGTGCTTTGTGGTTATTTATTCATTTGACGAATATTTATCGAGCACTTACAATGTGACAGGCATAGTGGAAGGTGCTGGAGACGCAGTGGTGCACGGGACAGTGTCCTCACCCTGGGGGAGCTTGTTTTCCAGGGTTGGAGGGACAAGCAGTGAATGGAGAAAAACTATATAAAGAAGAGTATAATGTCAGGTAGTGACAACTGCTGTAGAAAAAAAAAACAACTAGTAAAGGAGGTCAAGTAAGGGGCTGTGGAGGCAGTTTGTCCTGAGTGGACAGAGGGCCTGATGAAGGTGACATTAGAGCCTAGAGCTGCCGGAGGAGAGGTGAGCCCCTTGGTCACCTAAGGGAAGAGTGGCCCAAGCAGAGGTGAGCAAGGGTGAAGGCTCTGAGGTGGGAATGAGCCTGGTGTATTGGGAACAGCAGGGGGCCTGGACAGCTGCGGGGAGTGGCCTGGAGAGGGGAGTAGAAGATGACGTCAGAGACAAGAGAGGGTAGCGGGGTCTTGAAGGGCCTTCCTCTTGAAACATGGCACCTCAAATCCCCAGAGCCGACTTTCTGGTTTGGATCCAGGGTGCCCATCCTGCTTGAGAGGGGTCTGGAGTATTATGGGTAGCCCTAGCCTGACACCCCCCCATGCCCACTTGGGTTCCCACACAGTGACCTCCAGGCCGGAGTGCCAGGGGTCTGAGGGGGAGGTCACTTGGAGGTCCCAGCCAAGTTCCCCTCGAGATCCCACGGGGATGACCTCCATAATTTGAAGTCCGAAGCTCTACCCTCAAACCGCTCTCCAAATCCTCTTGTAACTCCGAGGGTGACCTCTCCCAGACTCCAACACTGGGGCTCCCCGGAGTCTGGAGGGGTCGGACAACCAGACCGCGCGCCCCACGCCCGAAGCCGCGGTCCCTGCGCCACCGGGAGAGGCCGGTGCAGCGGGCGACTCCCGGGCCGCTGCGGCAAAGGCTGGGCAGCCGCGCCCTCCCCCCGCGGTGATTCATCCCGCCCCCTCCCT